AAAACTCTTCTCTCTTTGTTCAATATATTCATTGTGCCGGACAAATTCACTGTACTCTTCTTTGACACGTAAATCGGGACGCAAAGCCAATCATTTTCAACCTTGTATATGAAGCTAAGATCCAAGCTACATTATGTAAAAAATAGTAATATACAAATGCTTTTATTTAAAACAATGACATGGAACCTGTATTATGTTCAATAAATATCATACATCCGTCCATGAATACTGTGCTATCCTAGCGCATTCTCCATATAGTAAAATTAAAATGTAAAATTATTTGTATACTGAGTTTATCAACCTCAAATTATTAATAAAAGGGTATCTGAAAATAAAATGTTTGTTTTAACTATGAAGTACTAAGTTCTAACTATGAAGTACTAAATACTAAAAAGATAAAAATTACTTTTCTACTAGAAATTTTAGAGATAATAGGGTATTTTTAGGAGGATTTTTATTCGGCAACGCCGAAAATAACATTTTGTGGTAATGATAATTTTGGAAAATCAACTTAATTATCACAACAAATCTTATAATGTCTATACCTATGTGGCGGATTCATCTCTCCAAAAAATCCTATATGGGTATTTCGCCACTGCAAGAAAATCTACAAAATAAAATAGTTATTTTTTTGTAAACACTTCTCCGTTAATCCCAAACGGAAACTTCTTGTCAGAAGTTAGGTTTACAGATATACAAATTTGCGAACAAAAAAATGCTTAACGTTTCGGAAAGTTTATCTCTTTCCTTCGTCGGAAGCAAAAAAAATCAAAGAATAAAGAAAAAAAATAAAAAATAACTATTTTATTTTTTAGATTTTCTTGCAGTGGCGAAATAGCCATATAGGATTTTTTGGAGGGAACAAATCTTATGCAGGTGGACTCAATAACCAATTGTGAATTGTGTATGCTAAAGGGTTAAAAATGGATTGATAAATTTCTCTTGTTCCTCTGTGTATCTGTGTATGTTCTCTCATTTTTGCTTTCTTTTTGTTTAAAACAGACTATTATTACAAAATTACTCTGGTAGCAATTTGTTCGTAAATACAGTTTATAAAAGAACTATTGAAACTATCATTATATTATAAAATACCTTAAAGTCCGTCGGTCCTAGCGCATGCACCATTTAATAAAATTAAATTTTCTACGATATAATATATTTTTTTTTAAACATAGAAGTTTACTAGTCTAGCTATATACCCTATAATTAAAAAAATATATAATCAAGTCGACTTTAGACGTTCACAGCTTGCAGAATTCATTTTTTTACATTTCAACATTACTCCAAATTCATGTACGGAATCTTAACCCCACTGCACTGTGATGAGATGTGAGATTTCCTTTTAAGTTTACATTTTTTAAGTTTAGAAATATAAATTTTCATTTTTAGAAAGAACCTCATTTGCTGATAAATATTACAAAGTAATAATACTAATTTATTACAATTATAAATATTAAATAACAAGAAAATACCCATAAAGGAAAAACTTCTACTTCCTATTATTTGTTTTCTAATGAACTATTACCGGTACTTACCGGTACTACTAATACCGGTACGAAAAACTCAACTTTATATCGAAAATTCTAACGTTTACTCATTTTAAAACTATTTTAGCATGTAGGTATCTAAAATAAATTAATTTACGCTCTAAGCTTTTAAGGCTAAAAATATAATGTTTAATTAAAATTTATTTGACAGTTGCTGCATCAAGCTATTATTAAAGTTAATTACATTAACTCTCATTAGGCTTTATCTGCAGCCTGATATTGCACTTGTGTCTTATTGTTAAAAAATATAATTAAAGCAATTGACATCCAGTGGCGTAGTTTCATATCGTTAACAAATTAAAGTTAAAAAATTTAATACTTTTTGCAAGGATAGATAGATACTATCTTAAATGTACACTGCAAATCTTTAATAAGTGCAAATATTTTTAGGCTGGTATATTTCGATACCAAGAACGCTATGAATTATTTACACAAAAAAATTGGCGCCGGGAGGCACGCCACCTGGCCACCTGTGGTCCACTATCCGCCACCTGGGTACCTCTTCTTGAAAGCGAGAGAAGGGAGTGGTCCCTGGGAGGTCCCGGAGAATGTTCCCTCACTCGACCTCCCTGAAAACGAAATGTCGTATTCTTGAAGTACCGATCGCACCGAGGAGTATAAGGGAGGAAGTAGAATCGGGGAACCAGCGTTGCCGGTTTGTACAACCAATAGAATTACAGCAAATCTTGACAGTCAGAGGCTTACTTATTCTATGGTCAGCGACTTCGGCTTGCGTACATCGCGTCTAGAGATATAATTTACTTTAAAACGTAAAATTTCGAACGATTGCAAATGTGGGTTGATTTGTTTGTGTCCCAAAGCTTTGTGCCTCCCGTAAGATCAACAAAAAGGCTTTTCTGCTTGTCTTGCACTTTAGTCAATACAGAAACTTTACGATTTTTTTAAATTTTTAACTCCCTCCCATACCCCTTTACAAAACCCCCCACCCCCACCAAAAACTAATGGCGAGATTCTCGGGTGGCACAGTATTTTTGTGCCAAATTTGGTTAAAATCGGTTTAGCGGTTTTTGAGTTATCGTGTTACAGTCGGACAGACAGACAGACAGACACCATGAAAATATTTTGTATTTAGGTCATTTATGACCCAAATAACTCATTTTGAGTGAAATTAAAAAGACTTTTTTTTTGCCGATCTTAATAGCCTACCATACCTGTTGGTATTTTGAATGAAAATAAGTAAGAATATAAATGTTTTTAGAAATAAGTTGAAATTTTTTTTATTAGAAAAAGTATATTACAACATAAATGAATTTTTTATGGAAAATGTATAATAAATTGTTAAAATCATACGAAGAAAAAAGAAAGATATAGTTTGTATCAGTATTTTTTCGTTTTCACATAAACGATTAGGTAAAAGGTTTATTATTGTATTTGTTTTGACTATTCTATCACAATTTTATATTGTAATTTAGAAATAAAGTTTATTATTATTTTTTTTTCACTGCTCCGAACAGGTTTAAAGCTGCCTTATCGGTCCATGGGGACAAGATAAGGTGCTATTGTTAATCACCTAGAAAGGAACGAACAATGTTAGCAGCATCAAGCAGCACAGATTTCTGCATAGGCGGTAAGTATTTTCAGGTATTCCAATTACTTTTAATTGTTCTTTAAAGTTGACCGGGATAATTCCAATGGCTGAGACAATCAAGGGGACTACCTGGACCGATTCCATTTGCCATATATTTTTTATTTCTATTCTCAAATCTTGATACTTTGTTATTTTTTCTGTAAACTTGCTTTGTATATTGTTGTTGTTAGGAATAGAAATTTCAATTAGTAAAATTGTTTTTTTAATTTTATTTATAAGCGTGATGTCCGGTCTGTTACTTCTAACGGTTTTATTTGTTAAGATTGTTTTATCCCAGTATATTTTGAAACTATTATTTTCGACTACGGGTGGTGGATGATATTTGTAGTAGGGCTCTTGGATTTCTCGGTCAATGTTGAATTGTTTGAGGATCTCCAAGTAGATGATTGATGCGGCTCTGTTGTGTCTTTCCAGATACTTTGTACTCGCAAGATTACTGCACCCTGATAAAATGTGTTCTATGTTTTCACTTCCAGAATCACATCTACGGCACTTGTCTGATATTATATTCTCCTTTAGGATGAGTTTCCGGTAGTTGCGTGTTGGAATAACATGGTCTTGCATAGCCACTATGAATCCCTCGGTTTCTGGGTAGAGATAACCTGATGTTAACCAGTGCAATGACGCCACCTTTTCAATGTGGTGTTAATCTAGCTCATTTGGGTACCGCCCGTGTAACTCCTTGGCTCCCCAAGTAGCTATTTTATTAGTGATTGATGTAGGAGTTGGAACTCGCAAGATTACTGCACCCTGATAAAATGTGTTCTATGTTTTCACTTCCAGAATGACATCTACGGCACTTGTCTGATATTATATTCTCCTTTAGGATGAGTTTCCGGTAGTTGCGTGTTGGAATAACATGGTCTTGCATAGCCACTATGAATCCCTCGGTTTCTGGGTAGAGATAACCTGATGTTAACCAGTGCAATGACGCCGCCTTTTCAATGTGGTGTTAATCTAGCTCATTTGGGTACCGCCCGTGTAACTCCTTGGCTCCCCAAGTAGCTATTTTATTAGTGATTGATGTAGGAGTTGGAAAAGCATCATATTGTTTACTACTGAGGTTCAAGGGGGTGTATTTGACATCAGCTGAAGACACCGTGACGTAAAGGTTGCTGTTCTTGGTATAAAAGTATTCTCTGAGTCTCTTTATTTGCTCCCGACAGACAATAACAACATCCAGTAAACCTCTACCTCCAAGATTTCGAGGGAGGGTCACCCGTTCCGTAGCGCTTCTTGGGTGGTGATTTCTAAATTTGGTTAAGGTTGTTCGTACCAGGCGATTTAGGGATTCTAAGTCTGTATGGGTCCATTTGACTATTCCAAAAGAATATGTAAGAACCGGTAGGGCGTAGGTGTTTATTGCTTTAAAGAGGTTCTTAGAATTCAAACCCGTCTTTAGAAGGGAGGTAAGTCGCAGTCGGAAGGCGGTCGATAGGCGGTTTTTAATAATTCCATGTTCTATTTTGTGTGTTTGTAGCATTCCAAGATATTTATACGGCTCAGTCGACATTGCGGAGATAATAGTTTTCTCATCTAGATTCAATTCTGGTGTTTCGCATAGTTTTCCTCTTATGATTGAAACAGTCTGACATTTGCTCGTACCAAAGGTCATTCCAATATCTGCGCTGATTTTATGAACGGTACGCAGAAGGTTTTCAAGTTGGTTTTTTGTTGCAGCATATATCTTCAAGTCATCCATGTATAGTAGGTGTGTAATGAGATGACGTCTGTTTCTCGTTCGTAGTGAGAATCCATAACCTGTTTCATTGATTATCCGCGATAGTGGATTTAAGGCTAGACAAAACCAAAGGGCGCTAAAAGAATCCCCTTGGAATATCCCTCTACGAATTGGAATTTTTGGCGATGTTATGATAAGAGGGGGCAGACCTGAGGTTGAGGGAGGTCGTCCATGAAGGCATGGTCTTAAAGAATCGGCAGATTTTGGGGTCAACATTGTAGATTTCTAGAACTTGCAACAGCCAGCTGTGTGGTATGGAGTCGAACGCTTTCTGATAGTCAATATAGCCCATGAAGATATTTCTTTTGTTATGTCTGGCTTGCTCCAAAACCACCGAGTCTATTACAAGCTGTTCCTTAGAGCCCATTGCCCTGCTTTTGCAACCTTTTTGCTCTTCGTGTAGGATGTTATTGGTGACCAGGTAGGTATATATTGTACTGCTAATGCAGCTTGAAAATATCTTATAAATTGATGGGAGGCAGGTGATGGGTCGATATTGGGAAGGATTATCTGGGTTTTCTGTTTTTGGTAGAAGGTGAGTAATTCCCTCCGTTAGAAAGACGGGCATTTTATTGGGGTCAATCAAAGTTTCAGTAAATTCTCTCGCTAGGTGGTTGTAAGTAGCGGATAATTTCTTGTGTCAAAAGTTGTGAATTCCGTCACGCCCTGGACTTCTCCAATTAGGTAATTTTTTGATTGCACTTTTAACGTCGCGCAGGGTAATTATTGTGTCTTCCATTCTTACGTTGTGATGTTTTTCATGTCTTTCATGCGGCATTTACTTGATGCTCTCCTTGTGACAACCAGATGTTGTTCCAGTATTGATTTAGTTGGTTTGAGTCTATGGCATTTGGATGTTGGGGGTTTTCTTTATTTGCCTTATTTCCAAGGTTGCGGTAGAAGCACCTCTCGTTTTTGGGTGAATTTACTTATTATTATTATTATTATTATTATGGTCGGGTAAAAATGTTGAAAATTTTTAATTAAAAAAATGTTTCTTTTAATTTTCAGTTAAAAACAAAATATCTTGATAATATGACAACCTAGATAGTAGATTAAATTTAAAGGAACAAATTAAATTAAAGCACAAAAATCATTTTATTTTAAAATTTTCAAAATAAAATAATTTTGGACTTATTGGATAAACGGTAAAGAGAAAATATGTTTCTTTAACATAATATAAACAAAAAAGAATAAAAAATATACACAGAAAAGCAAAAAATTTTAATTTGCCAAGAGAAAAGAGAAGAGCCACACGAAATTTAAAAAAAGCTGTTTTAAGAGTAGGTATACGCAAAAGATTGCTGATCAGTGTCAAACCAAAACCAAAATATTATTGAACGTTAGGAAAATTAAAACCCTTTTTTGAAAAGATTTTTTGGTTCCATTTAAAAAAGTATGTGTAATTCAGTTAATTACAGTTCAATCAAGGTCAACAAATTTACAACCAATTAAAGTATTAAATGATGACCAAAAAATCCTTTGCTGGAAATTAATCAATTAAACCATGGTCATTAAATTAACTTTTGATTCAGTAATTGCAGATCGATGTTTCACAGAAAATGTCTTTATTGATTTTTTATAAGAAATGGGGCAGTTTAATAATTTAATTAACAAAAATTTATAGAGAGTATAGACATTCTTGAAAATTAACTTTTGTTAGGTTCCCCTTGTTCCATTTGATATTCCAATTGAGATATAATTAAAAATACGATTTGGGTTGTCTCTTTCAACTGGCCAGGACAAGGCGCGAAAAATAACAAACGATCAAATCTATTTTTCCAAGGTATCTTGATTAAATAGTGTTTTTAACACAGCCAAGACATTCTAGATTGAAATTTAAAATACGAGTATTTTAAGCGAAAATGGCAAAATTGTCATATGATATGTCATTATATTCGAGTGTCATTTTCTATCAAATATAGTAAAAATGCCGAGGGTGCTATTTAAAAATCAAAAGTTGTGGTAATTTTCGGTATATTATTGAGGTGAACCACTCTTGAGAAAAAAACCGTATACCGGGTGCGTCTCAACAGTGGCTCACCATATAACTTTTTTATTTTATCAGATAAAACAATGAGATTTGGTATGTTAGTATACGACATAAATTAGGATTGATTGACATATTCAATTGTTTTCGGTTAGGTTAGGCTTTACCGGAAATTACTACAACACTGAAAAATAGGATCTCTCAGTCGAAATGAATATGACTTTGACCCAAAAGATTGGCGCTATTCAATAGGACCAAGAACGACGTTTCTTTGCCCAAAGCATTAACTATCTTTTCATAAGCTTTAAAAAATTACTTTAGAGAATAGAAGAATCTATCAGTCCAAAGTATTTCACTCTTGACCCAAAATGAATATGTAAAGACGTTCTTGCTACAAGAACAATAGTCTCTTTGATTCATGCAAAAATTCCTGATTGAAAAGGGACCATTTCTTGATTAAAGAGACACTTTTCTTAAACCAATAGCGAATACTATTGACTCGACTAAAATTTATTTTGATCTAAGAGAAGTCTATACATCATATACAGGCATATTACGAGGTATATTATTTTCTGATAAATTTAGGTTTTCCTGGTCTGTAGTAAAGTGATATTATTTTCCTCGATAGCAGTTATTTCTGCTTCTTCACTTCTTGGTATTTTTTGAGGTGGTTCATCACTCTACAAATTTCAAAGAAATGTTACATCACGATTAATCAAAGTAAAGCAAATAAATTATTAAAATTATAAGCTTTGGTCACATTTTGAATTTTTTAATACGATTTGAAATTCTAAAATTTTTGTAATTATTTGCATAAAAAAATCGATACCTATATTCTTATTCTATCTCTTACCTTCAAATATAGCAAATAAATGCTCTAATTTCTATTTTTTCAGAAACTCTTTTAAAGAATCCATATATCCTAAAATTTGTCCATAAAAAATGAAAAATGCATGTTAATAATGATCACTAATTTGTTATACGATATGCGTTTAAAAAGAAAACCCGCGCGTACTATGATGTACGACTGATCGGACTGCCAACTGATTGTATATACCGTCCTTCGTCATCGTCATTGCGTGTCGTTATTATTTTTCATCAAAAGAGTATTTAGCTATTGGAAAAATGGCCATGTTTCTTGAATGAAGTACTTCCTAACGTATTTTTCTTATTATCTTAAAACAAAGTAACTTGCACTTGGTAGAATGAAAATAGATTCAAGGGAAATTTTCGAATTTTTCAAGAGAACCAGTTTTCTTGAGTTAAGAAAGTTTTTCTTCAGGCAAAATATTTTCTTTTATGCTAAAATAAATTCTCTTGTCACTAAATTTTTTTTTTCAAGAACGTTGACGACTTTAGTTCAAGTCTATCTTTTTTATCAATGAACTTTTGATTTATAAATAGTATCCTCGGTATTTTGTTAGTTTATTCGATAGAAAATGACACTCTGAATAGAATGGTTTTCGCATATGGTTTATTTGAAATTGTAACATTGTAACATGCGGTTCATAACGACAATTTGACTCGAAATACCAAGTGTGTAAAATACCAACTGTGTCAAATTATTCCTAAAAAATACTTTCTCCAAATATGCTAATGAGCCACCCTCATTCCATTTGAAAAAATTGAGATATGATTAAAAATATGATTTGGGCCTCTTTTAACCGGTCAAGACAAGACACTATAAACATTAGACAATAAAATTTATTTTTCTAAGGCTCCTTCAGTAAAAATTAGTGTGTTTAACACAGCCTTCCATTCTAGATTGGAATTTAAAATACAATTTTGTTTTAAGCAAAAATATCAAAAGTTGGCATCCTATTCATAGCGTCATCCTATTCAGAGCGTCGTTTTCTATCGAATAAAGCAAAAAAAAATACCGAGGTCATTTCCGGTGAAATAGGAAGCGGCCCAAAAGAATTGAATACGTCAATCAATCCTAATTTATGTCATATACTAACATGCCAAATCTCTCAATGTGTTTTTATCTGAAAAAATAAAAAATATATAGAAGTGAGCCACTTTTGAGACGCACCCTGTATAATGACAACAAAGATACAGCCTTATATCCGGCAAAAATGTCTCTCGATCCGATGCAATAAACTCCAATAACTCTGGGCCGACGTGCCGTTAACAAGCTCAACCAGCGTACAATAGGGGCCGAAAGCGCTATCACAAATCAAACAATGCGCACCACAAGATCATCCTAATTGAAAGACAACTGTTTCTCTAGCCGGCCGTCTATTAGTCACTTAGCTCCTTTAGAATCCTGGAACGATACACAACCGGCCCCCTTGGCATTCCACACGACAATAATTGTCACCGGTCAATTCGTTAATGAAACCTAATGGCAAAGGAGCGTTCTTGTTACGTTTTGCTTGTTAGTATTGCTCAAACGATCGACAAAAACACGGTTCGCTTTAAAGTATCTAGTGAAACAGTGATAAATCATTTTATTAGTAAGATTAGTGCTGATTTCATTTTAACAGTGATACACAGTGGCAGATTTAAAAAGGACGTGATAGGATTTTGGTACACCATACCTTATTTATGGAAAATTTGTTTTGATAGTATCACAATGTTATTAAAACGATCCAGAATCTGGCTATAGAAGTATAACATTGTAACCTAGTATCTTTTTACATAAAAAAATGTTTTCCAGTTATTTATTTTGTCATATTAATATGCTAAAACTATTTTTTTGATTTTTTAAAATACCTACTTGTTATAAATTTGTTCTTTCAGTTTCTTCTTGTTATACCAAAGTTAGTTATAATTCTACTGTTATACTTTACTTCCATATAATAATCCAAAACAATTCTGTATAAAAACAATATTTTACTGATCAGTTGTAGGTTGGTTTGATGTACCGGGTGCATCGTCATTGGACATAGGATGCACATTTTGAGCTGTCCAAATATTGGCTCCGCTGTTTTGTAAAGGTCTGCGTATGCTTAATTTTGGACAAGCAGATTTTAACTAATTTAGGACAAACTGCCTCTATTTTTTAACAATACAAAACCAGGAAATGTCAACATAATTAAGTTGTCAACCTATGATTTTGTTAAATCATAATGTTAAATGCAATGTGTTTTGCTGTCTCACTACTAATTTATAGTACCTACGATTAGTGTTCCATACATTTTTCTAGTTCAAAACTTTAGATTTAAGCAAAAAACTAACGTTTAGGAAATGCTGATAACTTTAGCTGAAAAATTAAGGTATGTTGACATTTGCCTGGTTTTACATTGTTACCTGTTCAGTTTTAATTTAAAAATAGATGCAGTTTTTCTTAAATTGGTTAAAATCAGCTTGTCCAAATTTTTTTAAATTTGACACGTGTTTTCATCATAAGCAAACCTTTAAAAAAACTATATTTACGACTTCACTGTTAAATCAACAGGGGAGGCAATATTTGGATAGCACCAACCATGCATTCCATCCGGTATACCGGGTGCGTCTCAAAAGTGGCTCAACTTTATAATTTTTTTATTTTTTCTGATAAAAAAACGATATTTGGTATGCTAGTATATGACATAAATTAGAATTGATTGACGATCAGATGTTCTGTCACTTCCTGTTTCACCGGAAATTACTACAACTTTTGCTTTTTAAATGGCACCGTCGTCGGGTCGGTATTTTTCTACTTTATTCGATAGAAAATGACAGTCTGAATAGAATGATATATCCATAGATAAAAGAAAATAATCTTCTATTAAGATAGATATGAAACTTAATAGTAAAATTTTGGGTCAAAGCGCCCCTCCGTGTTCTTAGTAGAGATTACGTTTAACCCAGCGCCTTCGTCTTTTCTGCTGTAAATATTTTTTATGTTTATATTTGATTTCAAAGGATTTAGTTTTAAAGTTACACTGATATATTAGTATATCAGAGTAACTTTAATAAAACATAAGAATATATTATATATTTTACAGTTTATTAAATATAAATTTTGACTACAAGGTAGAAAGTAAATCACAATATTTGATAAAACTTATAAGTATACCATTTTTACAGTTAATAAATAATAAAATTATTTCTGACTATGATATTTAAAATTTAGATTGATAGAATATTAATATAAAACATACCGGTATTTGCAGACGCAGGCCCAAATTCAATAAAAACCAAAATTTTTCCTGCGAAAATCGGGCTTTTTTCACAGAAAAGGTATTTTTTGATTTATCAACAATCATTGTCAAGTTGACAATATACAGGGTGTTTTCTAATTAGTCCAAAAAATTGTAGTGCGATTCCTCATGTGTTCTTGAAACAATTTTTATATAACCATTAGGTCTAAAGTACTTCCTTTCTGATCTACTGGGTGTTAAAAATTAAAAAAAATCGATATTTTGCTTAACATAAATGGTACACCACTGCTTTTTTAAAGAAAATAATTTTTTTTCTTGGCTGGCCATCCTTTTTCAACAAAATTGATCTTTTGAGTTTTTCTTGTTTATCAAACAGTTGCCGAGAAAAAAATAAATATACTTATTAAGAGCCCGCCTTAAGCCGTTTTCTAACGATTTTTTATTTTTTAGATTAATTAGGAAACACCCTGTATATGCATATCACAGGCAACCAAATAAACTAGTAACCTCTAAAAATTATTTTTCCTACCACTAGCGACATACCGTGTTTTTAGTGAGTACTAAATTATTTTATCAAAATTTCACCATATAAGTTTCCAGGCAATGGATATATCATAGATAAAAGAAAATAATCTTCTATTAAGATAGATATGAAACTTAATAGTAAAATTTTGGGTCAAAGCGCCCCTCCGTGTTCTTAGTAGAGACTACGTTTAACCCAGCGCCTTCGCCTTTTCTGCTGTAAATATTTTTTATGTTTATATTTGATTTCAAAGGATTTAGTTTTAAAGTTACACTGATATATTAGTATATCAGAGTAACTTTAATAAAACATAAGAATATATATACTTTACAGTTTATTAAATATAAATTTTGACTACAAGGTAGAAAGTAAATCACAATATTTGATAAAACTATACCATTTTTACAGTTAATAAATAATAAAACTATTTCTGACTATGATATTTAAAATTTAGATAGATAGAATATTAAAAAACATACCGGTATTTGCAGACGCAGGCCCAAATTCAATAAAAACCAAAATTTTTCCTGCGAAAATCGGGCTTTTTTCACAGAAAAGGTATTTTTTGATTTATCAACAATCATTGTCAAGTTGACAATATACAGGGTGTCTTCTAATTAGTCTAAAAAATTGTGGTGTGATTCCTCATGTGTTCTTAAAACAATTTTTATATAACCATTAAGCAGGCCCAAATTCAATAAAAACCAAAATTTTTCCTGCGAAAATCGGGCTTTTTTCACAGAAAAGGTATTTTTTGATTTATCAACAATCATTGTCAAGTTGACAATATACAGGGTGTCTTCTAATTAGTCTAAAAAATTGTGGTGTGATTCCTCATGTGTTCTTAAAACAATTTTTATATAACCATTAGGTCTAAAGTACTTCCTTTCTGATCTATAGGGTGTTAAAAATAAAAAAAAATCGACATTTTGCTTAACATAAATGGTACACTACTGCTTTTTTAAAGAAAATATATTTTTTTCTTGACTGGCCATTCTTTTTCAACAAAATTGATCTTTTCAGTTTTTCTTGTTCATCAAACGGTTGCCGAGAAAAAAATAAATATACTTATTAAGAGCCCGCCTTAAGCCGTTTTCTAACGATTTTTTATTTTTTAGATTAATTAGGAAACACCCTGTATATGCATATCACAGGCAACCAAATAAACTAGTAACCTCTAAAAATTATTTTTCCTACCACTAGCGACATACCGTGTTTTTAGTGAGTACTAAATTATTTTATCAAAATTTCACCATATAAGTTTCCAGGCAATGGGATATATTCAGCGCCGGTTTATACATAAAGCGGAACAAGCGGCCGCTTGGATCTCGAAGGGGCCCGTATTTCGGTCATAAAAAAATATAAATATGAAAATGAAGCAGAAGTCGATAAATAAATGGTCTTTTTAAAAAGGTAAAGTAAATATTTTAACTAAAATTTCTTTATTATGTACAATATAATGTTCATAATCAACGATCAACCGACAAGGGTATAGTAGATATAAATGTCGGTTTGAACTGTGACGATGAAGCGGTCGCAATTTTTAAATACTTAATACTGAGACTGTTCGCGTGTTCGATTTTACAAAATTGCTACCCCGGCTATGAACCGAATATTGCCTAGTATAATGTTAATATTTTTTATTTTTATGTTAATATTTTATTTTGATATTTTAAAAGGAAATTGTATTCCAATGTCATACGATGTTAGTTTTTAAGGCCTTTTTGTGCAGAGGGTGTTTTTTTGCTAATTGACTCAGTCAAACTGTCCTACTGTCCTGATGATGGGAATAAAATTCGAATCTCGAAAGCTGGACAAATTTGAAAAAGTAGTTTAATAAAACTCAAAATTTAAGTGAGGATGCAGTCAATAATCACCACATAGGCTAATAAGCCTATGTGGTGATTATTGACTGCATCCTCACTTAAATTTTGAGTTTTTTTCTTAACTTAGTCAGTCACGACCAACCTGCTATTTTTGATATTTTTATGTATGTGCAACTGTGATTTACTGTTTAAAATTATTTTAATAGGCATTTCTTATTCTATACCATATAAAAATTAAGTACAAGATTTTTCATAATTATTTTGTGATTATTTTTTTATAATCACTTTTTATCGAAATAGAATAAAAATAAATACGAATTATTCTAAATTATTTATAAAAAAATACAGGGTATATTTTAGGTTATTTTTATGTTTTATTTTAAATAACAACCTTCGTTTTAATAATTCTAGCGCGGAATATATAAAATAGGATAATTTGAACTTGATTTTAAAAAATCACAAGAAACTTTCTACGCAAAAAAACAAACTTTTTTGTCAATGCGTACCGACTGCTCATGTCGCCGCGCCACTGCAGTTTCTGCCTTGTCGTGCTGCCTTGCACTTTTGTATAGGTATAAGATAGCATTATCAAAATATCAAAACAAAAATATATTAGGTCTCATCTCGGACAGTCGACCGTTCTTCGTATTCAGACTAGCAAATTCTTGATACGAGTATCTATCAAAACTTTGATAAATACTAGGTATTAAAATAACAGGTACTTGGAACAGTTACGGATCTGGACCTGTTACGGAAAGTACCTGTTATAAGAAAATACTAGTTTGTATCAACTCTAATTTTATTAAGTCGGTGTAAAATTTCTCTTAAACGTCTTAGTGATACTAGATGGTCAGCGCGGACTGCTGCAGTTGCTGCTCTTAAACTAAATTATAAAGCAATTATAGAATTTTTTTCTGCCATTGCGAATGACCAAGGTGAAAAACCAATAACAAGAAATGAAGCATCTGCACTTTTAAAAAAAATGCAAAAATTTGAACCTGCATTGTTGACTACCATATGGTTTAAAATCTTAGAAAGAGTCAATGCTACGAGCAACGCTTTGCAAGATACATCACTAAATATATTTACTAGCATCGAGTTATTGAAGTCACTAGAATCATTTGTTCAAACACTCCGTGGAAATTTTGACGGTATCGAAATTGAGGCAGCGACTTTAGTGGATGACGCTACTTATAAAGAAGATATTTCTCCTAAAGTGGCAAAGAGAAGTTTAAGGTGGAAGCCCATTATGTAATATATGTGACTCCATAATTGAAAATCTTGAAAGACGAATTAAAAGCTATCACACTGTCAACGAACGTTTTAAGTGTTTTTTAGCAATATCGATGACATTCTGCTTTAAAAAGGATCAAAATTTATTTGAGATCCACCATAAGCCAAGAGAGACTCGATGCTCTTTCTTGATCCACATAGAAGGATCAAATATCGAAAAATTAGATTGCAATTTAATAACTGACCAGTTTGCAAAAGAGAAATGTAGAAAGAACCATATTTGATCAATGTCCCAAATTTTTATTTTGTTTATTTATTAAGTTATTTCTTTTATGTTCTGTTCAAAAATTATAAATGTTTTATTTTTGCATTAAATGTTGTTTAATATTATTTAAATGTTTTTTATAAAATGTTTAATCAAATTCATTATGTTCGTTGAAACTTTTTTTACGTAGATAATTTAGTAAATCATACAACACACAACACACTACATACCTAACCATAATCATTATGTATAACAAACGTAGGGGGCCCGAAAAAAAATCCGCTTGGGGCCCAATGTCCCATAAAACCGGCCCTGGATATATCATATGTCAACTTTTGACATTTTCGCATACGGTTTATTTGAAATTGTAACATGCGGTTCATAACGACAATTTGACTCGAAATACCAAGTGTGGGGTACTGCTCCATCTGATAAAATTGATATAGGACTAAAAATACGACTTGGGCATCATTTAACTGGCCAGGACAAGACTTCCTTGATTCTTGATAAAAAATTAGTGCTAGATTGAAATTTGAAATACTTTTTTTAAAACGAGAATATCAAAAGATGACATATGATATATCATTCTATTCAGAGTGTCATTTTCTATCGAATAAAGTAAAAAAATACCGAGGGTGACATTTAAAAATCAAATGTTGAATGTTGAATAAAAAAAAATGAATGAAATGACCGAACACAATTGAATACGTCAATGAATCCTAATTTATGTCATATAGTAATATACCAAATATCGTTTTTTTATCTGAAAAAATAAAAAAGGTAAAAAGGTTTAGTGGTAAGCCACTTTTGAGACGCATCCGGTATAGCACAAATGAACGGTTTATTTTATTTAAGTAGGTAGTTTTGTATTAAAATATTTTATATTAATTAATGATTAACAATTAATATAAAAATATATACTTAATTAAAATCAATAATTATGTTTACCTACATAAAAAAAAACAGAAGGAACATTACTTTGAATTCATGTGACACGATACTTATGTTTTTGATGTACAGGATGTATCAATTTCCTAAATATAATTTCTTGCTTTTTTCTTGCAAAGTCAATTAAATAATAAAAATGTAAAATACTCGGAAATTTTTCGGAACATTGGGTCACCTACATATAAGCAAATACACCATTAAAGAAACACTGTGTCGGTAACCACTCTACGGCGAGAATAGGTCTTAGAAATATCTCCATAAAACTGACCACTAGCATGTCAAATGTTTCAACAAATTGAATCTAACCAAAAACACAGCATAAAGCAAGTCAGCTTCGTGTCGACTTCACTTCAATTTGTTTACACCGACACCATTCCGTTTTTTTTTCAACCATTTGACTTATTGTAATTAGTCTGGCTACTATACATAAAAAATATGCCTTATTGCACTTATTGCGCAGAATGCGAATTTCTAGTTTTGTACTGCACAGTAAGCGTCGAAAGTAGCTCCTTTAATCAGTCTCATTTGTATAGATTTCAATATACCAGACTCTATAATTAGTAAGAATGCTGTCAAAACCAACTCTTTATATATCGCCAATAAATATGCTAGGTACTATTAACAATATATGACAAAATTATTGAATAGGTGCTTCAATAGAAACAAAATAAGATAAACTAACATGGTTTTACATGAGATCATATTATATCTTTTTGTAGTGGAAGAATTGCGTTGCGATACTTTTTAGAAAATAGAGTATTTTTTAAAATCTATATGTTTTTGATGGAATATTTGATACATATTGCAAATTGACTTTCAGAATCTGAGTCTAGAATTTTAAGAGCATACCTATCTTAAGTTAAAAAATAGGTAGATTGTCAAAAAAATTTACAATTTGTAGACAAAGGTAAAGTAAACAAACAAACAAACAAAAGAGAATACAAAACATTATACAAATTATATTGTCAGTCTTATTGTTTAAAATAAATATTTATAAATGTTTACAATGTCAAAGAATAAAAAAATAAAAATAAAATTCAAAAATATTTAGTAAGTTTATAGTAAATATCAATGACCTCTAAATAAATTCATTTCGATGTCATTCGTAAATATAGTAATAGCAAACATTAGACCGGTGTTTACAAGATCAAATTCGATTATCAAAATATAAGTCATTTACGGCGTAGAAAGCCTTGTCTAGTAAATAAGATTTCAATGTTTTGCGAAATGAAGAAAATCATGTTATGGATTTGATTTCAAATGGCAGGTGATTTTTTTCGAGTTGTATAATATTGAACTTTTAACTAACTCTGAGCCTGGGGTAGGTAGATAAAGATCTTGCTCCGCGTTCCTGAGTGGATAAGTGTGAGATGGCCTTTCTTGTGAAGCTGATACATGCTTACGTATTAGGCAAACGGATTCAAATATAAATAAGGAAGGAAGAGTTAATATTTTTAATTTTTTAAAAAAGTCCTGGCAATGAGTTCTGCTGTTTAGTTTGGTTTGGTAATATTATTGGTTATATTGGTAATATAGGTTGGTACCAAAATCCTATTACTTTTTGTTACTTAAAGTTAATAGAAAATAGTTTAAACGTTTATCTCAATTACATCCATCTCTGAAATGAGTAAATCAAATAATGTCTTGTGAAAATAATTGATCAACAAATATTTTTTTATTAAATTTGCTCAGTATAGTATAATAACTGTGTATTTAGTTAATTAAATCATGAGCTGTCAGAAAAGAACGTACAGTGAAATCGTTGTAAATAAAGACAATTTCTTAGTGTATTGTACACTAATTTTAAGTTTAAAGTTGGTTCTGGGCAACGACTTTAGCAGTCCTCCTACCACAGTAAAAGCTATAGAAAATAATACTGTTCTATTACCCTGTTATTTAAACACGCTGTCAAATGGTATGTTATTAAAAACGATAATTAATACTGTTTAAGGTATCATTGTAAAATATTTAATAGATGAGGCTTATGCCGTGGCAGTTAGATGGTACAAAGGAGAAGATCTACTTGGAGATAGTGGTAATGAAACAGTAATATTGCCAGAAAGGCACATTTTATGGGATAATGGATCGTTAGAAATCAGAACGGTTCAACCTCCTGATACAGGAGAATATACTTGCGAAGTTATAAGACCTGAACCATGGGGTGCCGTAAAACAACGCCATGCTATTGAAGTTTTACGTAAGTCATTTTATTTAGTTATATTAAATAAAATTTTGAGATTTTTATATTAAATATAGATATACAAACATTCTTTCAAAAAATTTCGAATTTTTAATTATTTTTTTCGCGGAAAAAAACTCATAACGTGTTTCTGGTCTATTGAGAACCAATGATTTTTTCTACTTTTTTTTTTCTTTTAAATTTAATCTACTACCGATGTGGCCATATTATCAAGATATTATGTTTTTTAACTAAAAATTAAAAAAAATCCAGAATTTTTTCAAAAAATACCAAATTTTCCTTCAATAAAAATTATAGACATGTTTCTGGCGTCGAAATATACCACCCCTAAAAATATTTGCACTTCTTTAAGACTCACCCTGTAGAAAAAAATCTGAAAATAAGCTAAAGGATATTTCAATACATTTGAATAAAAATAATTTTCAATATTAAAAGATGAACAAAAATGTATTTAGAAAAGCTAGCAAAACTTGAACTCAAAAAGCCTATATAATTATTATATTCTAAAAACTTAAGGCTTAATTTTTTGATGGTAATTAAATTAATTGGTTATCTTTTTTTGTGTAATTATCAGAATTACACAAGCAAGGAAATGTACTGATCAAAGTGGAACAACCCAATTAACAACATCAAATTAAAATTAAATAGGGAGTTTTTCTAAAAATGGACAATTAATTATACCACAATTAATTGCATCGAATTTTATTCTAATCTGCCATTAATAGTACCCTTGTATATATATTTTTAAAGTAGATCAACCTATGACGTTTATGGACTAAGACTACTAGATGGCAGGACCGGTTTCCCTACAGAAAAATATTTTTGTTACTCTGAATTTTGAAGCTACCAATAAAAACAGAGAAAAAAAAACGATAATTTTCGTTACTAATCGACCAGATACTTTTTGTCTATTAGATATGCTATAAAACCTGGCAATTATACAATTCGACCATTGTAAATACCCGACAAATTCTTCAAGGCCGACAAGGCCGATGCTTCTCACTGATAAGAAATAAAAATGTTTGTTTAGATAATTTTCGAAGTATTTTTTCTTAATTATACAATTCGACCATTGTAAATACCCGACAAATTCTTCAAGGCCGACAAGGCCGATGCTTCTCACTGATAAGAAATAAAAATGTTTGTTTAGATAATTTTCGAGGTATTTTTTCTTTCTGAATGCACATTTTTAAAGTATTTTATATTCCTTGTCCGCTTAATCTATACTGGTTGCACGTATGGAAGTTCTGTTTCTTCTAGTTTTAGAAAATGTTCATATTTCTTTTTTCTTTGTAGGTGTAGTGTAAAATTAGATTAATTTATTAAGTTTAATTATAGTGTTTAGTGTAGCATGTTAGTGTAGTCTACCAAAAATAGTTTAGTAGGTAGAGTTTGTATAGTTTATTTTGTATTTAAGTAGTAGGTGAAGGGATAATTTTGTTATTTTTCTTTTTGTTCGATAAATTAGTAAGTTTGATAATTTGTTCAGTGTAGAATACGAGAATAAGTAGTTGTGTAGTGTTTTTAAGAGATCATATTCGTTTATTTTGTAGTTGAGTAGTAGGTGAAGGGGTATTCGGGTATTTCTTCTTTTTGTTTTTCTTGTAATAATTGTAGTAGTTCTATTAAGTATTGTGATAGATACACTATATCTTCCTTCAACTTCGTGCGTTAACAAAGTGCGTTATCATATAATCTTGGTTTTCTGGTAGCAGAATATACGAAAAAAAAATCTGATTCTGAATTCTGAATCTAAATTTATTTGAAATTAAATTAATCTAGCCTTATTAATCAAATTAAACTAGTCAAATAATAACAATAGTTAGTTTCAAAATACTATACAGGGTGAGTTTCCAACAATGTTCTCTATGGGCATCTCGGAAACTACTGGAGATAGAGAGGGGTTAATGAAAGAATTGCAGTTTTGTAGGGTCATAAATATGCGCCTTTCGGATTTTTCGGAGAAGTTCAAGGCTTATTAGATATTTCGAAAAAAACAAATTTTGGCTATTTTAAAACTTGTCTCTAATTCCATTATAATCTACCGTATGATCGAATAAAAACGGAGTCAACGATGGCTATGAAGTGAAGATCGCTGTCATTTTATATGTAAAATTATATAGGAAATATCATTGATCGCCATTTCATAGCCATCGCTGACGCCGTTTTTATTCGATCGTACGGTATTTTAGACAAAAAGTTTTCAGATAAAAGTTGTAGATAATCACATACCTAATGAGTTTGTGTTTTCTGTTTTTTTTTTCTTCTAAAGTCTGTCATTTTTGACATATGACACAAACATATGTTTTTTTAGTAAACCATAGTTGGCCATGACTTCATAAAAAGCGCCATTTTTTAAGTTTTCAGCGATACGTATAATATGTTTTTTTCGAAAAATTACAAGTTATAGCCAATTCTTTTCTTTCTTGGTTAATTTCCATAACAATAATACCATGCCAATTAGCATCAAAAATGTAAAAGTTTAATGTTTTCAAAAAAAAATATCGTAAAATTCGTAAAGCACTCAATTTAGAATAAAATAATCTAAGAATGAAATTATTTTTTTATAAACCTGCATTAAATCAAATTAAAATAGGTATGTAACTTTTTTTTAAATATTAATTAACAGCCAATTAGTATTATCATAAATTATAAATAATGTACCAACATATCGAAATAATAATTTCTTTGTTAATACGGTTTAGAATTCTTAAAATAACAGGCAAAAATAATCCACAATTTACAGTAAAATAAAAGTTTCTCGTTTAAATTTCTTAATCAGCTGATCACTATTAAAGTTCGCAGATACCCGGGGCTATATTATTACATTACTCTGAGGAAAATAACGAAAATAATCGATATTTTTGACTCCGCCCCGAAAGGTTCACGATTTGTCCTCCAGTTAGCAGCACATTTTGTCTAGTCGGTTGACCAACTTTAAGAATATATAAACAAGGATAGTACCAAATAATAGTAACAAACTTCTGTCATTTAAGAATATATAAACAAGGATAGTGCCAAATAATAGTAACAAACTGTGTCATTTATGTTAAAGTCTATGACAGAAAAATATACAAGATATCTAAACTAAACGTTCTCCTTATTAACTTTTTCATTGATATCTCTTAAACTTTTTCATTGAAACTATAAACGGCAATATATCTATTATCTTTGTGCACCGTGTAGTGCATCGGAACGCGGGACATAGGATATCCCATGTAAATTTTGTAAAGGTCATATAATATCTCCCCTGATGATTTTATGCAAAAAAATTTTTTGACTTTTTTGAAGAGGCGTTAAAGTTATACCTACTGTCGGCTAGAATTTCGTTTTATTGGGAATAAGCATCTAAAACTTATTGGCAAAAATCTACCTTCACATTACTAAAAATTTAAAATATGGCCCAGAGAAAGCTACAAATAAAACACCAGCAAAAGTATGATTTTGTCATTTTCAAATTCAATGTCACATTTTTTTGTTTACAAGATTTTTTGTGGTTTGAAAAGGGTGGTTATTTTTTCTGAATTGGAATGATCATCTAGAAAAAAATTAGTTGTATTCGAGGTGTATGACTTGTTTGCTGTTCATTACTCGACCACTCGCAGGCCTCGCTTATACCACATACATCCACAACAATTTAACAAATAAAAGAAATATTTGTAACTAAAAGAACTTTATTAAACAATGCTGATTACTAAAATGTATACACAATCCCTCATTCACAGCTAAACAATACCCGAAACGATTGTAAAATTCACGCCTCACAATACTAATCTGTTAAGGGGAGAATCTTTAGCATTCCACAGAGATGGCGTTTTCAGTTCAATTAAATTTCTGTATTTAATATGCCCATAAAGATGGTCTTTGAGTGTGCTCCACAGGAAGAAACCATTCGACGAATCGTGTGGTATTTTCCTATTTGAGCTCCCATTTGACCAACCCAACCCCAATAAACGGGAGTCAATGTTTTTCTTTTCTTCAATATGAAGAATATTCAAGTCATTGTTGTTTTCTTCCTATTCAATTATTTTTGTCTTCACACTCCCATGTGCGTAAGACCTTGGTGCCTTTAGTTTTAAACCTCTGGTTTATTCTTTAAACTGTTGACTTATTCGGTATAGGCTTTCCGGAGACTGAGCCGCGAACATATCTAACACAGCGAGAATACTATTTCCAGCAAAATGCCGTTTAACCATCGTAACTTTTTCAGAAATTAGGAAATTCATAATTATTTTATACAAAATCACTCTCCAAAAAAAATTTTAAACGAGAAATACAAACCCCAAATCCTATACACAATGATAACAATACACAATACCGGGTGCACCCCCCTATAACTTTTTTATTTTGTCACATAAAAAAACGAGATTTTGTATGTTAGTATATGACATAAATTAGGATTGATTAACATATTCAATTGTTTTTGGTGACTTCCTGTTTCACCGGAAGTGACTACAACTTTTGATTTTTAAATGGCACCCTCGGTATTTTTTTACTTTATTCGATAGAAAATGTCTGAATAGAATGACATATCACATGTCAACTTTTGACATTTTTGCTTTAAAAAAGATCGTATTTTAACTTTCAATCTAGAGTGCCATGGCTGTGTAAAAAACACCAATTTTTAATCAAGGAGCCTTGGAAAAATAGATTTGTTCGTCTAGTGTTATTTGTGTCTTGTCCTGGCCAGTTAAAAGATGATCAAATCGTATTTTTAATCATATCTCAATTTTTTTCAAATGGAACGAGAGTGGCTCATTAGCATCTTTGGAAAAGGCATTTTTTTACAAATAATTTGGTACCACACACTTGGTATATCGAGTCAAATTTTCCTTATGATCCGCATGTTACAACTTCAAATAAACCATATGAAAAAATGTCAAAAGTTGACATATGATATGTCATTCTATTCAGAGTGTCATTTTCTATCGTATTAAGTAAAAAAATATCGAGGGTGTCATTTAAAAATCAAAAGTTGTTGTCATTTTTGGTAAAACAGGAAGTGACCAAAAACAATTGAATATGTCAATCAATCCTAATTTATGTCATAAACTAACATACCAAATCCCGTTTTTTTATCTGGAAAAATAAAAAAAATTATAGGGGTGAGCCACTTTTGAGATGCACCCGGTATATACAACTTCAATTCCATACATACGAGGCATTTCGAAAAAAATAGAAGGATAGGAAAACAATATAACATACGAACATCTTTCAAAACACAAAATACACTTAGATCCATTTTATAACATACTAAACCAATGAATACAGAACAACAAACAAAAAATGTAATATACAAAATACCCCATGTGAATGCGATAAATTTTACATTGGTGAAACATCTAGACCCTTAAATGTTCGAATTAAAGAAAATAAAGATTATTTAAGAAAGGGAGATTTTCACAAATCTAAGATTTTTCAGCATTCATGGGACACAGGTCACAGAATAAATTTTAATAACGCCAAAATTATAATGAACGAAGCGATAGCCTCTGAAAGAAAATTAAAAGAGGTTTTTTTTTAATACAATCTAATAAATGTATTGCTCATGCATCTGTAGATGTTAGTAATATATGGCAATCGCTTCTTTGATTTTAAAGAACATAACATAAATAAACATACGTAAAAATCTAAAAAAATCATACAGAAAGTTTAGAGCTTTTTGGTTTTACCTTACTAAGTAATTGTTATCAGGTAGTAATTGTTAATTTTGGAGTTTAACTTGATATAATGTCATTTTAACAAAACGCCAACGGTTTTTGTAGACGTATCTGTTTTAAAAAAACCAAAGTGTTCTCGAATAGTTGAATTTAAATATTTTAAATAGTTTTTTTCTTTATTCTTTGTATTTTTTTTGCTTCCGACGACGGAAAGAGATAAACTTTCAGAAACGTGAGGCACTTTTTTGTTCGTTAGGCAAATTTGTATATCTGTAAACCTAATTTCTGACAAGTAGTTTCCGTTTGGATTAACGCAGAATTGTTTACAAAAAATAACTATTTAATTTTGTAGATTTTCTTGCAGTGGCGAAATACCCATATAGGATTTTTTTGGATACATAAATCAGCCACATAGGTATAGACATTTTTTAAAATTACTCTATTTGGTACTTGGGTATATTCAAATTTTTGTAAACAAAATGTGACATCGAATTTGACAACGACACAATCCAATTTTTGCTGGTATTTTAATAGTTGCTTCTCTGGGCCGTATAATTAGTAAAATTTATAAATTTTACTAATTTGAAGGTAGATTTTTGCAAATAACTTTTAAATTACTATTCCAAATGAAACGAAATTATAGACAAAAGTACAACTTTAACGCTTCTTCAAAACAGTCTAATACAACTTTTACATAAAATTATCTGGGGAGATAATAATTAATCCTTTCAAAATTTACATTAGATTTCCTATGTCCCTTGGTCCGATGCACCACATGATATAGTTAATGAGTATTTTTATACGTAGATCCCCCATCGGTGGAGCCATTCCCCTTAACGGGGTTCTTACAAGTAAAATTAGGGGAAGAAGTACGAATGTCTTGCAAAGCTGATGGAGTCCCTTATCCATTAATTACATGGACCAGGAAGGTAGACACATTGCAAAATAAGTTTTTAACCAATTACATTGTTGCCATTTTACGTTTTACAGGGTGAAGAGTTAAAACTATTAGATCATAGAGAACTACTGATATTCACTGGATCTGATAGATACCTGGCAGGAGAGTACGAGTGCATCGCCGCAAATGGAGTAGGAGAACCAGCTAGAGCTAAAATCCAGCTTAGTATTATTTGTACGTTGTCAAAACTATTAATATTTAATGTTATAAGTTAGTTAAATTTACATAACTACACAGATCCGCCAGAAATAATGACACTGCGTTCGTGGATACATACTGCTCCAGGACATAGAGCTCAAATAGAATGTCGAGTATCTGCTGATCCTCAAGTATGGACAATGTATACAATATGATTGAAAAAAAGGCATCAAGTTACTTGTAAAATAGCGATCGATGACATTCAAAATATAATTTAACATAATAATAATAAATAACATAACATAATAATTGATCAGTTCCTGTTTTATTTTGTCTTCGTCTTCCATGATGAACTATTGTTATCTTCCGATTTTCTTTTTTCTTTGAGCCACAATAGGCTCTTGTTGTTGCAATAGAGGATCACCAGTGGTCCATTACTGAAGACACACTCAACACAAAACACACAAAGCATGTCTAAACTATTCTATTATTTTTATTTCTAAAATTGGTCTGTATAAACTCTTTATATTTCACCATAACGGTCATTTATTACTCCTCCTATTAGTACCTATTTCTGATAATTTTTACTAATAATACTGAATTAGTGGATGGTAATACCGTCTACGATCGTACTCACATGTTATGGGAATCCGAAGTAATTATTTAATTTTTTTTTATTATTTTTTAAGGCCTTTATTAATACATCTGAAAACATAATCATAAGAAAATGTTGGATTATAGCACCCAAGTTTTTTTTTCTAAAAGACTGAGCTACCGATCAAACGTCATTTCTAAGGTAACTTGAGGGCGTTCTTTTTCGATCATACGATAATTTTGATATAATTAAATGCAATATTAATTAGTACTATTAATTTAGGCGATAGTGACATGGTTAAAAGGAGACGTAGTAGTTCCTTTGGACAACAGGGTAGTGTCGATAATAGACGGAGATAAGCATATACTCTTAATCCGTAACGTGCAAAGAAGTGACTTTGGAATCTACACTTGTAGAGCTATAAACGAATTGGGCCAAGGCGAAGTCCATATTCAATTATCTGGTAAGATATTTATATGTAACACATGATTTTTCACATTATGTTTCATTAAACGTTTTTTAGTATCTAATATAGATTTGAATGTTTCAAGTTAAGGATATTTCCTTCATTCCTTATAAATATTTCCACTTTCTAGCATTTTCACTTCAATCAGAAGTGGCTGCCAAATTGCTGATTTTATATAGAACACCTACTGAAAATTACCCTGTGAAAATTGTTCCTTTATTTATCTCGATTTTTGACCGAGATCTACAGCACGCTCCACCACTATCTATACTAATACTAAGGACTGGCATAGGTTAGTCTTGGGTCGAGATTTCCGTATGTAAGAAGAGTACAATGCGTTTATAATGTACTGAACAAAGAGAGGACAGTAAACACGTTGCCAAACGTATGAAATAAACAGAGAAACTGTGCACAACGTTAAGACACGTGGAAGGGGATATAGCAGATTTGTCGCAGTTGACCGGTCGACCCAATCAATACCTCTGTCGGTACTTAAAGTTCTAGGGAAAGGTGTACATCATGCGTTCAGCTTCACGATTTAATTACGTCTCGTGATACTTAATTTGTTTATTTATTAACGAGTCGTTGTAATTTTCCCTATAGCTTGAATTTTTTTAAGTGCAAGCTAGAAACACTTGCATTTTTGGTAAAAATAAGTGGAATTGAGTGGGTGTTCGATAGTGGTCGCGCTATTAGAACTCTGAATTCAAAAATCTATATCTCGAAATCTATTAGAAATAATAGATTGTAGTTTTTTCAAGAATTTTGTTAATATTGTAAAGTATGTGAAAATCTTTATCAATAAATAAATTACACGATTGCTGAAAATTGATATGCTCTAAAAGTAAATGGATGGATTGTTTACAATTTTTGAATGGAAAAAACCACCTTATCGAATTTTTCTTATGTAAACATATTGTAAAATATCCAATCTTGAAAATAGAAAAAGCTTCAATATCTAAAATGGTTCTTGAGTTATGGCCTGTTATGTGTTAAAAAGTTGAGTTTTTAAATTATCGCGATTACTGACGTTTTCTCGTTATAAAAAAAATGACACCCTAACGATATCCTTATAATTCCATTTCAGATGCTCAGAAACATGTCTAATGATTTTATCTAGTTATCTCTTGAAAAAAAAAAGTCTTTTAAAAATAAGCGGTTTGCGATCGTGATTTTACTTTACTTGATAGGGAAAGGCGTATCGGCAAAAAAAAAAGGCGTCGCGCGTCGCGTCGGTCGGTCGCATTTCTCTCACTCCGAGTTAATAAGATCCCTATGCGATTTACTTCCACACATGTAAATGCCGACCCAAAAGTAACAGTTGCCAGCACGGTATATAAAACACTTATGTGACTATTTCACTGATTAATCCTTCTCAAACCACTCAACGTAAGAAGCTCAATTTTGTCATACAGGTCAATTCTAGGGTATAGAGGTTCGATAAGAAGGGATTTTTCGAAATTCCAGTTCCAAGGGGGTGAAACCACCCCTCAAATATCACAATATTTTTTATTTAAAAAACGGTCAAGTTTCCGAAAAAACGCTTAAACACGTATATTTTATCTTGTTTTTAACATATTTTAAGATTTTTTAAAAATGTATACAGGGTGTTTCGAAAAGTCTGGTCATTGATTAATCACGATCCTGCTTAAAGCGCAAGCGCTTGACGTAAAAAGCTCATTTTTGGAAAACAAATTGACTTTAGGGTGTAGAGGTTCGATAAGAAGGGATTAACCTAACCTAACCACCCCTCAAATATTAGAATATTTTTTATTTAAAAACCGGTGAGTTTTTCGGAAAAACTCTTAAACACGTATATTTTATTTTGTCGATTTACATATTTTAAGATTTTTTAAAAATGTATACAGGGGTTTCATAAAATATGACCATTGAGTAATCACGATTCTGCTTAAACTGCTTGACGTTTAAAGCTTTTGGTAAACGGATTGACTGTGGGGTGTAGAGGTTCGATAAAGAAGGGGCTTCTCGAATATCAAATTCCAAGAGGATGAAAACGCCCCTCAAATATTACAATATTTTTTATTTAAAAAACGATTAGTTTTTCGGGAAAACGCTTGGACACGCATAATTTATTTTGTTTTTTACATATTTTGAAATTTTTAAAAAAATCATACAAGGTGTTCCAAAAAGTTGGCTAATTGATTAACCACGATTCTGCTTAAACTGCTTGACGTAAAAGGCTTATTTTTGGCAAACGGATTTTTCGAAAGTCAAATTCCAACGAGATGAAACTACCCCTCAAATATCACCAAGTTATACAGGGTGTCCCAGAAATAAGTGCAAATATTTTAACTGGTAGTAGAGTTCAACCCTAGAAACACGCCTATGAGGTTTTTTTCGCGAAAAAAAAAAATTTGAAAATTCGAAATTTTTTGAAATTTTTTTTTGGCAATTTTTTTAGTTTTTAGTTAAAAAACATAATTTCATGATAGTATGAAAACATAGGTATTGGATTAAATTTACAAGAGAGAAAAACCAGAAAAGATCCAGTGATTCTCAAAATTTTAGCAAAAAATCTTTTTTTTTGGAAATTTTAACTTATAATATCACAAGAGCTTAAATTATTTTCGGAAATTTTTTTGAGGGCACGAATATTTTGAAAATTATCTCGAGTCGAAGACGAGGGATAATTTTCCTAAAATATTGGTGCCCGAAAGAAAATTTCCAGGAATAATTTAAGCTTGCGTGGTATTCGGTAAGAAAATTTCACACCTAAATTTGAAAAAAAAAATATTAATCCAACATGACATTTTAAAATAATTTCAGTTTGTTAATAATATTAACAAATATTATTATATTTTTAATTAGTTACATCAAATGCTAAAACTCAAATGGGTAATATTTCAATATATAGACATTGTAGTTCATTCACATTATGATTGTAGATCTTATGTTTACCTTTTCAACTGTCAAAAAATTTCCACTAAAGTTTCGTGGCGCCTCGAAGTCGCTGGTACACGCTATAAGTAAATATTTTAGAAATTTTCTTTGTTTAACAGAGATCTTTAGTATCGTTGATATTTAGTAATATTTTTATACCTAATATAAAATTGTAATTAGTCACGACAGTTTTAAAATATTCTTTATTTTCCACCGTTGCTTCCATCAAAATAACCATTAATTCACATATTTCACATAATAATTATTCACATAAATGTTTTATAAAAGTCGTCTTCGGCTCGTATTCATTGAATGCTCGATGGATTATATTACTACTGGAGCAATTTACAGACAATACTATGAAAATGTGCATATTATAATATTTCAGTTAGATATTTTCAAGATATTGGAGTTATTGGAGTATAGAAGTCGTCATTTTCAAAATTTGAAGAGCCATCGAGCACAACAATATATCGTATCCAAAAATCATATTTATGCGAATATAATATTAAATTATATATTACAATCAAAGTAACTACGCCACTGGCTCACATTTTCAAGATCTCTGAACAGCGCTGCCATTCTCTCGGGAATCGTTCATGTCTGCGATCAGCCCGTCTTTTTCCCACTTGCATACAACAAGAAACGAATGTCTGATTCTGATTTTTTCCTTTTCATGAATGAAATGCTGGGTCTACTTTATTTAGATGTCATTGAATAAACCCATCCCTGTTGTCCTCCCCACAGACCGCCATAGAAGCTTCGATAACAAGTTTAACACATCGTTCAGCAGCTTGTGTATTAAACGGATATATAACAATTTCTATTGTATCGGGGTTTTCTATCATTGCTAATACCGTATGATCGAATAAAACGGCGTCAACGATAGCTATGAAATGAAGATCGCTGTCATTTTATATGTAAAATTATATGGGAAATGTCATCGATAGTCATTTCCAAGCCAACTGGACGCCATTTTTTTTCGATCATACGGTATATCCTTGTTTGAAATATTAGTTAATAGTGGAGCTTCCGTTACCTTGCAAGACTAACTATAATTTAATAGTCATTTTCTGGAATTCGCAATAATATGTCACTGTTAATTTAAGTTCTGACACATTATTTCCGTGCCTTTATAGGGCCTTTATACACAAAATGTATTATACAAAAAAAAATGTCAATCCAAAAATGAAGAGGGTGCTGTATTTAAAATAGGCAAATTGGCAGGTACTTCCAGATAACCCGAGACTGCCAAGGGGTAATTTTTTTCCTAAAAGGCATACACCTGTAAATAATCTTAACTTGATACAAATTTTTATAGTTGGATATTTTTAAAAACATAATAACATATAATTGGATATTTGATTTTAAACTTGCGGTATTTCCAGGTATACGAAACTAGTTGGAAAAATCATAATGCTTGTTAACATTTTTTCCTTAACAGTTAAAAAACGATTTGGTATGTTAGTATCGCTGTTTTTTTTTTCACTTTTAAGATTAATATTATCAAATGAATAGAATATTATGTCCAAAATATAACGAAAATGTTTCCTTTCTCTAGGTGTGCCCAATCCAGGAGTATTTAAAAGAGCCGATAATAATCTAGATTCGGATAAAACTACATACACTCTTATTTGGGAAGTTGACAGTTATACCCCTATAATAGAATATTCCCTCTGGTTTCGACCGTACAGAACTGGAAGAGGTTTAAATCGACCCGATTGGACCAAACTGACTATTCCAACGGAACACAATTCCGGACCGGTATACTCCAAAAGCTTTACTTTAAAAGGTCTAAAAGAAAAGACAATATATGAAGTACTGTTGGTATCGAGGAATCGATATGGCTGGTCGAAACCCAGTCCCATATTGAGATTTGCAACGCCAGGAGCAAGTAAGTTTATACAATACACAGTAGGGTGCACCCAAAAAAATATTTTTTTTTCTTTTAAGTTACTGTGAAAATATCGTTCATGATGATGAAAAAAAATTCTGGTGTAGTTTCAGCTTTTAACAATAATATTAATACAGAGAACCATTTTTTTCTTTGGATTTTATTGCGTTCTAACAAATCAGCGTTTTGTAAAAATCAACAC